GAAAGATTATTGAAAGACTATTGAAAGATTATTGAAAGACTATTGAAAGACTGTTCAGTACAACAGGACAGATTTTATCCCCAAAGAGCCAAACTTGACTCAGAAAACTTTAAAAACCAACTTCTTCTGAACTTGAACAATAAATTCTTGCTGCAACATTAAAATGTGTCACTTCATGATGTTAGGAGACAAGAGATGTCTCCAAATGACTCGACACTCAGGTCCAAGTTTTGAAAATGGTGTCAGGAAGTTAAAATATTGTTCACTATTGACCCATTACAAGGTCGACTAGACAGTATTTTAACTAGAGTTGATGACAAACTGGAGTTGAAATGATCAGAACCTGCTCTTTGTTAGGTCTAATGCTCCTTTTTTCAGACAACTTTTACTTAAATGTGTTTACTGCAGTTAAAATGACACAATGGTTTTGCTTTGTGTTAAATAAAAACTTTCAAAGGTATAATCATTCCACTTTCTTAGTTTGCTTAATGGTATTTAACTCATCCCTGAAATTCTGACGCACAGAATCACAAGTCCAAGAGTGAACTGTGTCACAGAGTAAACAAATAAAAACATGTAATATCTGCAGCATTGTTCATTAAAATGTCACAACACTATTAATGTATTACAGAAAATATACATACACTTAATGATATTGTAGACCATTGCATTAGGTAATACATTCAGGAAGTACTTTTACTTTTAATACTTTAAATATTTTTAAAAGCAAATACTTACTTTTACGTAACCAAAAATGTTAATGTGGTACTTCTACTTTTACTAGAGTACATTTTTGTCTGTTTATTTCTACTTTTACTTAAGTACAGTGTTTGAGTACTTTCTCCACCACTGCCAAGCACTAACTGATCACAAGAGAACCTGCAGCTGAGCTTAACTCCACCAGAACAACCAGAACTCCGTCATTTATCAAAATATAATTATTTTATTTTAAGCTTTGGTACAAAAAACACGAGCGGTACGCCCATGCCCCCCATCTCTGAGGAATGTGACTAGAGAATGTTTGTAGTTTTGGAGATGAGTGTTTTTCTGGACTGGAATTGAACAAACCTTAATGGTTTTGGTTCAAAATATTCAAGTGCAGTTCAAATGACACATTGCTTTGTGTTAAATAAAAACTTTCAAAGTTATAATCATTCAAGTGGGGAGGAGTTAGACTGTGGAGAAGAACAGAGGGAGGTTTTGTGTTTTCTTGTCCGAGGCAGCGCAGAGTGACGGATCCTGGAGAGTGGAGGGAGCAACTTTATCCACGACCAGGAGTTAGTGGGTGGCCAATGGTGGCCTTGGCCCCAAAGACTAATCCTGGGCCACCCCAATCATTTGAGAAAACTATATTTTTAAGCAACATAAACAAATTAGAAAGCATAGTTTCCTGAAATGATAGTGGTGGTTGTATATGCATATATAAATATATGATGGTGGCAGCCATCTTGGATTTTGATGTGATAACCCAATGTTTGATGGTGAGTTCGTGCACCTAGATTTAGCCACTCACCAAAGTGAACATCAGTATCTCGTTTATTTTTCAAGTTGACAGACGGACAGAGGGTGTTTCCATTTCCCCTCTTTGCTCTGTGACTGGGGACAAAATGCCTTCATGTAGGGAATGCTAAGCTTTTAAATATTTGTTAAGCCTAAATTCCAATTATAATGATTTGATGTTTTTTTGACAAGTCAAAGAGATCAGCTTCAAACTGAATTATCTTCTTGAATTTTTATATGAGGCTTGGTGTATTCTACTACAGCTTAAAACTCTAAAGCTCCTCTTTTCAGTATTTACAGTAGATATACTTTTACTAAAAACTAGTTTGTTTAACTTGATTACAAACTTGACCACATCACCACATCGCCTGTCATGTTCATGTAGTCTTATTTATCTGATGTATTTGTAGTATTTGATATTTGCAACATTTCCTCCATGTTTAACTCTAATAAGTTCTCTCGTGGTCAATCAGAACTGACTTTCTAATCAGCAGCTTCACACTGACAGAGTAAACACAGATTCATAAAATATCTTTTGGTGCTCGTGAAATCGTTACTGTAAAAGCAGTCATTGCTTACATAAAGTACTGTGCTGTCAAAGCTGACACGTTAAACGTCTGGTAAAGAAACATAACTAAATAAAAATAAATTCAGTTCCTGTTAAACATTTACAAATAATAAACAGGTCGTCGGCTAACTGAAAGACTTTGGATCTTTTGAGGTGAAGCCCTGTAGAATAATTTTAACAATTAGCATCTTACCTGTTGTAGATAGTTCTTTGAATGAGCTCAGTTTAGAAAAATTTTGTTTAATTCTGACTGGAAGAGATCGTGATTGGTCGAAGTGGACCAAGACAAAAGAATCCTAATCTCAAAGATTTTATATTGGTGTACGCAAACACCATTTCATTAAAGATTCAATTTAGATAATTGTAACTTTTCAACAAAACTCTGAGACAAACGATCTAAACTGTTGCTTCTAGAGACGTAAAGACTCCTACAGATTAGCATGAATGGTTTTGTTTTGGTGGTGCACAAATGTGCTGATGCAGGCTCTGGGGAATAAATACCGCATTTTCCAGATTATAAGGCGCACTTAAAGTTCTTTAATTTTCTCAAAAATCTACAGTGAGCCTTATAATCCGGTGCGCCTTATGTATTAACTCTGGTTGTGTTTACTGACCTCGAACCAATTTTATGTGGCTATTGTGAATGAGTTGAATAAAATGTGACTTATCTGTTTTGGTTCGCTTAATGCACCTTATAATTAGAAAAATGCAGTATGGAACAGCAAAACACAATCTACTGATTTAATTTAGATTTTTTTTTAACTATCTGTGCGCAGATTTGTTTCTCCATACGCTCTCAAAAATAAAAGTTGATTGTTGTTGTGTTTTGTATTTGAACAACAGATTCACCTATTTTAGCAGCCATTTCTGCCTCTCCTGCTCTTTAGTGATATTGTTGTTTCATTAGCGATGCCTACTGTTCAGGAGGAGAACTGCAGCAGCACCACTATAAACAGCAACAAACACCCAAAGTGTGCTTCACCCTGATCATGTTGGTAAATGTATATTCATAAAGAAAGTTTAAAAATGCATCAGCTGACAGCTGTTTGAAATGAGTACCATTCTTATTATTTGTTAAATGTGAGTTAGGCTTCACAAAAGAGTTTTTGATTTATTTTTTTATTGTGTAATACATTGAATCTCAGCGATGCATTTAAATACTGATAGCATCGCATCGTGACTAAAGTTTGATGAATCAGATTGGTGTTTGCTGCTCCTGCGTCTTCAGTAAAACGAATTGTTCACTGCGAGTTACGTATCGCCCACAGACGAGAGAAGCTCAACTTTATGTTTTAAAAATCAACTCTCAATAGCGCCACCATGACGATTGCATGAACATGCGTCCTTCACAGGCTGCGCTCAGCTTACAGCTACAAACATGAGCAGCTGGTTCAGTCAAGATATTTTAAAACTGACGTTTAATGTTAAAAAAAATAAATGTGCACAAATGAATGTGCATCAGTGACAGCTGACTGATGGATGAACGGTTGGTTAGTTCAGGCATCGATTTCAGTTCAGTCAATAGGTGATGGAGGAAAGCAAAGGGCCAGTGGAGATTTAATTCTTTGGGGTTTTGTTTGTTTTAGTTCTAGTTTTGTTTTAAACCTTGATTTATCACAAATCAGAGACGGTAGAACTGATTAATCATCAACAAACTCTGGCTTGGACCCAACAGGTTTGTCTCCCCAGGACACCTTCTCCCTGGAAGCCCTTACTCCTGAATTATTGATGAGATAAACAGTCCTGCTAATAGAAATCACAGATCACAGCCGCCCATCAAATGGCTGGGGGGGTGGGGGGTGTCATGGGCGCTTCCTCTCACTGAGCTGCTTTACAAACCGACAGGAAGCAGCGTGGGTCCGTGCCTGAATCAGTCCTAAGTGAGTTTCCGTTACTGTGACGTCAGTGCATGCGCAGGTGCCAGGTAACAGCTTGTTTTCCGAGGGTGAGGGGGGGGGGGGTAAGCTTTGTCTCCTGATGTGAATCATTATCTGTGAAGCCGCTGAGAAGCAGAGCCCGAGCGCACCAGCTCTCCATCCATCCTCACTTTGGTGAGCTCCACAACCTCCAATCGACTGCGACGTGCGCTCGCGCACACACGCGCGCACAGAGAGAGAAAGCCTGGTGGCAATAATTGGATTCAAGGCTCCATCCTTTGTCCAGAACCCGCTGCGTCTTCTTTCCCTCTAATTAGGCTGCGCACACAAAAAAAAGTTGGAGGAGGAAAACAATCGCGCCGCGCGCGCTCTGACTTCAAATTACAGATGGAGCACCTGGAGCTGCGGATTACTGCGGGGGAGGGGGGGGGGGGGGGCTGTAAATTCACGGGTCAAAAGCTACCTGGCAACTTTCAACTGATCCCCAAGGAAAAATTAAATGAAGGGAAAAGATATTTTCCTCATTTTGTTGTTTAAATTTTACGCGCGTCTGTAACGCGTAAAAAGAAAAGTTTTAAGACGGAAACGTTTAAAATATCGACTTTAACACGAGCGCTGGTAAATCTTTAAATCACTTCTGGTGCCTTTAACTTTGAGGAACAGCTGATGGAAGAGAAATGATCGGAGAATCCGCTCCGAGCTGCGTGTTCTGCAAAAACAGCGCAGAAGACCAAAAACACTGATTTACGTTTTTATTTATATTTGTTATTTGTATTTTTTATTTTCATTACGAGACCCGTGGAGGCTTTTAGTCTGGGCACGAGGAGCAGAGACCAGCGCGCGCGGTCTGCAGGCAAACCTCTCAGGGTGTCCAGTTGAACCCATCGCTCCAGTTATAGGTGACATCCGCAACTTTCAACAGACTTTAACAAAGTATGACCCCCCACTCCACCCCCCTACACACATACACACGCACGCATACACACAGTCCACCCACCCCCTTCCATCTATATCTGCATATTTGCAAACAGGGGCCCGTTTTTATTCGCACCTACCAAAGCAGATCCGAGCAGAGGGGAGGGCTCCCACAGTCCGAGCGGTCCGTCTCTCTCTCCCCCCTCTCTCTCTCCCTCCTCCGTCCCCCTCAGCCTGACTGCCGAGCCGAACTGGGTGACAAAAACAAGCCAGGGGCAGAGAAAAAGCTGCTTCTCCTCCAGCACAGTCCCGCTCAGGGGCCGTGTGATGGTGCCAGGCGCCGCAGGAAGCCCGACGCGCTGAATGTCAGCTGCTTTTCCGGGGGAGACGCGCACTTTCTCCGCGGCAGAGCGCGTGGGTTCCCCGAGCTTCCTTTGCGATCCCACCTCTACATCCCCGCTCGCGGAGAGGAACATGCAAACACATTTCATAGATTTTTGGAGCTTCGCGGAAAAACCGAAGTGGACTTTTTCAGCCGCGCGCATCCGAGGTTGATCTCAGGACAGATGGGGGAGAGAAAAGCTGCTGTTTCAAAATAAAAGTCCGGGTTCATAAGATAAAAAGTGTCCATTCTTTGTTGCTATTGCCTTACCTTAATCGTGTGGCTTATTCTGTCGTTACAGCGGGAGTATTAGTTATCCAAATGACATATTAGTCCTTGCAGCCACGTTTTAGCACCTGGATGAGTGACGATGGGTGTGCGTAAAAGTAGAAGTTTGTTTTTCTGTATCAAGGAGAGACCTTCATCATGTAAATTCAAGTCGATCTATTTTTCTCCTCAGTAACGTCCAAAAGGTGAGAAGAGCTCAGCCTGAGCCGCGGCTCTGCCTCCTCTGAAGTCCACTCCATTTCTTCCCTCCGTCCTGTCTGCTGGCAGGCGGCCAACCCAAGTGTGTGGAAATGACACCGCCAGGGCGGCAGAGATTTTCCTTCATTTCTCTCCTTCCCGATCGCAGACTGGCTGACATTGGCTAGAAAGTGGAGCAGCTCGTCAGGGACAATCAATGCGAATCGATCGAGCTGCGCGGTTGAGGCTCCAGAGCTGGAAAATATCGCGGCAGCTGAAGAGAGGGGGGTGAAAAAGAAGAGACGGGGGGGGAGGAGGGGTGTTCAACTAACTCCAAAGCTACCTCCTCTGGAAATAAAAGCGCTCTGAATGTTCTAAACCTGCCGCCATTCTCATGAAGAATGAAGTCAGAGAGCTTTCATCCATGTGCGTAATTACGCACGGTGTTTGTGCTCCGAGCGCACTTTGACTGTTCTGTTCAGAAACACAACTAAGATAGAGATGAATCATCTCAAAGCAAATATTTCCCAAGAAGAACATTTAACTCAAACTTAAAAGACCAAAATGTATTACTGTATCTGATGCACAGTTCTGCACACGTGCAAATCTCATTATTGAAATCCTTAAAATGAGAAAAACTATTTAAATTGCATTTTTTTATGAAAGCAGTGGCATTTTTTTTATTACATGAATGCAGCCAAATAAAATGATATAAGTTTGTTTAGCTCTTGATCAAACATCTCTACAGGTTAGTAAATGTAAAAAATAAGCACATGTTGGATAAATGAATATTTGTTTTTTAAGATCACTGCCCAGCTGTTCTGACATCACAGCCAGGAAGTGCTTGGCACAAACAAAGAAGGGATAACAACCATCCAGTCAAAATGTTTGAGAGTTAGAGTGTCATTTTTACTCACATTTTTATAATTCTCTGTGTCTCATGTCTATTGTATTTAGTTTTCCCTTTTTTTTCCTATTTGTGTCAGCTCAAGTTCTATACACTCATAGAACGTCTCGTATATTTGTCCATTTTCGTAAGACGTTGGAGAAAGGAGAACCGTTATATTGCAGTTTGCCTTCCGTGGGTTGAAAAGAGGGTCAGACGGAGAAAACAGAGAGAAGGAGAGTCACGCATGGATAGATGGGTTGGAAGGAGCAGCAAGCTGTGACTCTTGGACATGTTCTGGTGGGTGCACTGAACCCTGGAGGCTGCAGCCACACTCAGCTCTTTGTTGTTTTCGTTCTGCACAGGGAGGCAGGGTACTTTCCTGAGCCGGGGAGGAGGATTAGCGTTGCATGGCCTCCATCTCCAGCTGCACACATGACCAACACTGCAGGAAAGCCCCGCATGATGGCCCCAGAAAAAGAGGTGCATGAGGGATGAAGGGAGCGAAGAGAGACAAAAGAAACATCAGCTTTCTTTATATGCCAGGTAAATCTGTAACTAAATAAGGTCCAAGCATCATTTTGGAAGCATAAGATCGAGTTGCTCTTTCAAGTAACTCAATTCAGTTTAGCCTTTTTATTGTAAATAAGCAAAGATCTAAATGTTCAGCCAATAACTTTTAAGTTTTTCCACATCAGTGATCAGGTTATCTTAGTTTAGTAGCAGTAAATTTAAAGATAAAAAATAAAATTGTTAAAAAAAACTCAAAGGTGTCTGACACATGGGTGGAGAAACTCATATTCAAACTTGTTAGAATGAACTGGGTTCCGATTCACAGCTTTTTCCAAAGAATCCTTGCAGCTAAACAAAAAGAATCAACCATATTGGAAAACATCTTGGAGGACGACGAACACTCATCAACTTACTGCTGTCTTTTTATTCCACACAACCAGTTTAACCAGTCATGAGTCACTAAAAATACACTCACAAAAATAAGAACTGTTGCTTTACATTTCGTTTTGGGGTATAAAGTTCTTTAAAATGTGAGCTTTTTAGACAAATGTTGTCATATATTTGAGATTTGACCTCCACCAGTTTTCTTGCTTTTTCTCTTTATGCACCCCCACGGTTGGTACAGCAGGCCGAAGGACTGGGAGACAAAGTTAGAAAGGGTCTGTCCAGACTGATGTTTTGGACATGTCCAGAGGAGGGACAGTGGGTATATTGGTAGAAGGATGTTAGAAATGCAGCTGCCTGGAAAAAGACACAGAGGAGATACATGGATGCAGTTAGAGAGGACATGGAGGTTGGAGTGAGGACAGACAGAGGACTTGCTGTGGAGACCCCTGCAGCTCAGCTGTTGGTCAGCTCTTCTGCCGCCACACATCCTGATGCGTCTCAAAGGGCTGAAGCTCCATGATGACACTGAGCTCGTCACATGTTCTCTCTGCCCCCCAGTGTTTCTGAGTGAAGCACTGAATCATTAACTGTGAAGCACTTTTAGAGTCTCAGTAATGCTGCAATGATGCTACAAATACAGAAAAACAACCGGTAAGGTTTTAAAAACACACTTACGAGGATGAAAACAAAATGTTTAAATAGATTAGTTGATGTGGAAGACATACTGAAATAAATGTATGCAGTCACTGAAGGCTGGGAAGCATTATGTTTTTTGGATAAAACTGGCTACTAAGCTTCTTGTGTTGAGCGTTCTAGCATTTTAATCAATGAACCACATTTGTATGTATATTATGATGTCTATTTGATAATATTAGAGAACAGACAGGCTCATCAGACACAATAGCAGCAAAGTTCCCATTGTTTGTCATCCTATTTTGATTTTATTTTTCTCATTAGATGTATACTCTTCCCCTTCAGCTGGATGTGTGTTTCTCTGTTCCTTTAAACCAGCTCGTGTCAGTCAGTCTGTGTGGAAGTCCAGCAGCTGCAGAAGCTCCCAGCTTTCTGCAGCAACATTAGGTCCACATCCAGGGATCTTTCACCCATCCCTTCAGTCATCAAAGGTCCAGCTCTGTCCATCAATAAGGAAGCTGTTCTGTGGTCTTGACTGACAGAAAAGTCAAATCCAGTCAACAAGTAGTTCAGTCAAATAAATGATGTAATGGTCTCAAACGATCCTGTCTGCCTGCTGGTGCAGTGAGACACAAATTAAAGGTTAGGTCGCCATCTAGTGGCAGATCTGCTGCTATTACACGTTGTTTGGAGGTAACGTTCATTAAAGAAGCCCTAATAATAATAATAATAATAATAATAATAATAATAATAATAATAATAAACTATTGCTTTTATTATTACAACACTAAAATAAATAAAACATGGTCAGAAATCAACTTAAGATACAGTTTTTTTACTCATTAGCTTGGTTGAAAAATCACACAGGAAGTCATAAATGTTTTGCAGATATGTATATATGTATATATATATATATATATA